CAGTTAGCAAATGCCTCACTTAGTTAAGGACTATAGAAATTGGTGGCAGGGTGAACAAGCAGGGTGGCAAAAAGACAGCGAGAGAGAGAGAGAAACGGCCAAAAGACCATTTTACGTTCTCTGTTTTTCCATGACTCCAAGTGATTATGTCACGGTTTGTCCCTCTTAGTCATAAATTTAGGTTGAATGATGTGTGACATGTCTCCCTGACTTTGGCTGATCTTCGAAACCCTCCTGTTCAGCAAGACAGGATTAAATTGCCAGGGAACTTTGTGACTGTGCCCACTGTAGCATGAGATGGAGGTTCCCAGGACTGAATTTTACACAGTTGAACTCTTGAACCGGGGAACGCTACACCCACCGTGTCCAACTCTTTACTTTGATGGGTGAGAAAGCTCTAAAGATCACCCCACAAATCTTTTTTTCTTTTTTTTCAACTCGTTTATTCTCTTCTCAGATGATCCCTGCCTTTTTTCCAGACTGCTTTGATAATAACTCAACCTCCTTCGGGGAGAGAGGTGCTAAGGTGCGGATGTATCACGGTTAGCAAGAGATTTGTTCAGCCATTATGCTTGAATAAACAACTTGAAAGCATTATTCACAGAGTCTAAAATTTACACTCGACATGCATGAGATGTGAGTAAAAATTGGTTTTGACATGTAAATTAAAAATACTGGCCAGTAGGAATTGGAACATAGTGAAGGGTTTAAATCTGCAGTTTTTTTTATTATTATATGTGACCCTGGACCACAAAACCAGTCATAAGGGTCAATTTTTTGAAATTGAGATTTATACATCACCTGAAAGCTGAGTAAATAATCTTTCCATTGGTGTATGGTTTGTTAGGATAGGACTATATTTGGCCGAGATACAAATATTTAAAAATCAAAATATTTGATCTCTCCGTGCCCACCTCCGTCTGTCAGTGGATCAACAGCTTCCTGACAGACAGGCAGCAGCTAGTGAGGCTGGGAAAATACACATCCAGCACCCATACGATCAGCACTGGAGCTCCTCAGGGTTGTGTTCTCTCCCCACTGCTCTTCTCCCTGTACACCAACGACTGCACATCTAAAGACCCCTCTGTCAAGCTCCTGAAGTTTGCAGACGACTAGGAACTTGAAAAATTAAGTTTTAATATATTTACAGTAGGAAATTTACAAAATATCTTCATGGAACATGATCTTTACTTAATATCCTAATGATTTTTGGCATAAAATAAAAATCAATAATTTTGACCCATACAATGTATTTTTGGCTATTGCTACAAATATACCTCAGCGACTTAAGACTGGTTTTGTGGTCCAGGGTCACATATATACACTGTATCAGCCAGTGTTAAGTATGCATTGTCCGATAATTGGTTATTTAACTATTTCTGTCTATTTGTTTATTTTTTAGAATATTGGTAATAATTCAGAATTTCAATATTGTCCACCCATAAGCCTAGTTTTTTTTTCTTAATGAAACATTGCGGTTTCATGGCTTTTGAGAAATGTTTATAGCTGGCAAATTTCCTCAGTTCACTTAATATTGGCAGAATTTATTTTTGGACTGTGAGAACACAATGAGTCATTAGTTATGTGCTCATTAAATGTAGCATTCTAGATTAAATAAGTCAATCTACCAGCTGTCTGTCACAGCAGGCTAAACAGGAAGTGTAGGAGTGTGGGCCAACATCGTTGGGTGTAGGGGAGATGCAGGGTTTCGTCATATGGTTTGCACTCCACTCGTGTTTAATAGGCCTATATCTCGGTTTGTTTACTCCAAGTCCCTGGATCCCTCAGCATAGAATGCGCTTTGTCTTCTTACTGACGCTCCACCTGCATAAAGTATGGGGGTAGAATCGTTGCATAATTCCAAATAAATACATTATGATCCACAAATAAATGTAAAGAGATTAACAAAAATAAAATGTATTGATAAATAAATAGAATGAGATCCACAAATAAATCTTAGTTTCACAAACAAGAATTAAATTCACACAAAAAATAAAATGAGATTTGCAAATAAAAAACATATTCACAGATATATTTTTATGTCACAAACTCAACTTTGCCTGGCATTCATTTGTGAATCGAGTCCTGTGCATTTGTAGATCGCTGCATGCATTTGTGGATAGTGAAATAAAATAAAATATGTGTTAAATTCATCCTTTAAATTGCATTCCAGTAAAAATCCCAGTCATATAGCATATGTCGAGCATTTACAGTATCATAGAACGTTGAGTAAAGTGATCAAATTGAAGAGGAAAAAAACGAATAAACGAAAATAGAAATATAATCAATAACAGGCTAATAATAACAATAATAATAATACAGGAAAAAAAACGTTCAGTTAATAGACTTACAAGACTGTGGGATGGATAAACATGTGTCTTGTAGGCCTATTTTATTTGATGAACTTCTTTCGAATGCTGTTTACATCGCGCATAGACATTCACGTAGACAGCATCGCCTATTGTTAATATAATCTTTTAATAATGTATTAATTTCTATAATATAATAATTTATTAATTTCAAATAAAATATTAATAAATACATACCTGATAATCCCGGGTTACTATGGTCATGCAGGTTTGTTTACGCATTAAACTCATGGCCACGAGAAAAATATCTCGTTCCCTCAACATAGCATCTCGTGGCCACGACATAAGGATTACCTGGACAAAATGATCTCGTTCATTGTGATCAAAATGATGATGTTCCCACGAGTTAATATGACGTGGCCACGACAAAATTAAGTGAACCGAACAGGTCCCCTCGCCATCACCATAAATATGAGCATAGCAACAACCATGTTCAATTTTTGCTCATTGTTGTTAATTTAACACCACTTACCTGTCTTAAACTGTCCTGATTGTCCATTTTGAAGCGGTTAATTAGCCAGAATAGTGTGTTTGGTGCCTGGACCCACACTGATTGTAAGGCAAAACGTGATTGGTTGGAGCGAGAACACGCTACGATTGGTCGGCGCCACGTGACCGGTATCTGATTGGCTTAAGTAGAAGGGGGGTGGAGTCCATCCATTTGTGGATTGGTTTGCCTCTTGACGCTTGAAATGTCTCAAAATCCACAAATAAGCGCAACGATTTACAAATGCACAGGGAGCTATCCACAAATGCATGCAGCGATCTACAAATGCACAGGACTCGATTCACAAATGAATGCCAGTCAAAGTTGTGTTTGTGACATAAAAATATATCTGTGAATATGATTTTTATTTGCAAATCTCATTTTATTTTTTGTGTGAATTTAATTCTTGTTTGTGAAACTCTAAGATTTATTTGTGGATCTCATTCTATTTATTTATCAATACATTTTATTTTTGTTAATCTCTTTACATTTATTTGTGGATCATAATGTATTTATTTGGAATTATGCAACGATTTTACCCCCATAATAAAGGAACGTCAGAAATGCTACTTCAAATTAGTTTTTTAAAGCATATCTTCTGGATTGAGAAGTCCTTGCAATCACTTACATGTTCTGAGTCTCTTTGTCTTTAGCTGTCTGTCTATTCTTTACAGCTTTTCAGTACTGATTCCAGAGTGGCTCCAACTCAAGTTATCACTCTCTCTACTTTGTCTGGCTCATAAACTCTGGTAAATATGTCACACCGGTAGAAAAAATGTCCTTGCTTTTTCCATAAATTTAGAGCATTTTATATGAAACTTTATAGAGAATGCATGTCCTCAATGTCCTAGTGAAATGCAACTGGAGTTTGGATTGGCTTTTGGATTCTGTACTGGGCGGTCTTCCCGTGGGGCGCTGTTTATGACAGAGGTTTTTCTAGTTGCGTCCAAAGCAGATGAAGCACTGATTTCCCTCGCCGGAGTCCATCTGGACTCTCTAGCCCTGTGATGGGAAGAGGATGAGGCTGGAGCGAGTTCTCCCTGGGCCTCAGCCCGGGCATCCAGCTGCCTTCATCTGGGCTGTATGGAGTTCGTCCAGAGTCTGCCAGGCCAGGGAGTCCAGTGCTCCCATTGTGCTCACCTTCTTATACCCTTCAGACTGCTGTCTTTCAACTTAACCATGACCATAGTTTCTATTTAGTGTTTTCACTTTTGCACTTGGTAGTTTTTCATTAAGTAGATACTGAATTTGATTGTCCCCATCATGCAGGACTGGAATGCTTGAAACTGTTCCAAACTGCAGCAAGTTTGCAAAATCAAAAACTTCAAATTGAAATGTTGATTCAATAATTACTTTGTGTGAGTCTTTATGAAAAATTAATTAAAAGAAGCTGCTCATAAAATTCAATAACCACTCTAAATTATTCATTCTGTGATGAATTTGTTAGAATTTGTTCAAATGGTTAACTCTTGAGTTTTCAGTTCAGTGGACCAACTCATATGAGTCACATGCTCAGTATCTGCTCTGACCAATCCTTTTATTGATTCATTCATTCATGAACTGAAGAGTCACATTAAATTAGTATTACAAATCCTTCAAGTAAATCATTCAGAGAAGTTATTGATCACATGAGCAGATTCTTTGAATTAATCGTTCCAAATGACTAACAAATTCAGAAGTTGGATTGAATCAGTCTAATGAATGTGCCACTGAATTAATTGGTCCGAGCACTTACCGACTCTTATGAGCAGGCTATTTCAGTGAACATGGGATGTGACCGGTTTGTCATGTCCTTGTGTGAGAAATGGTTTTCAGGTTTTGGGTTGATGGCGCATGCAACATGTATGTTGTTTTATGGATATTGTAGAAAGTAGGGTTTGTGCTGCTCTCATTCATTCTCACAAATTATCCCATACTATAGAGCAGTGATTCCCAACTACCTGGAGCCCCCTCAAAATTGCCCATTTTGCATGCCTCCTTAATCAACCACACCTGATTCAGGTCATCAACTCATTAGTAGAGACTCCAAGACCTGAAATGAATGTGTCAGACATGCAAAATGTACTGTGTTGAGGGGGCTTCAGGAACTTGGTTGGGAACCACTGCTATAGAGACTTGTATATGCTTTTCTCTTGTTCTGACAGAGCACACCCCAGCAACAACAGAGCGAGGGGCACTCGCTCGCACATCTCCATTTTACAGGACGACTCGTCAGTCAGTACTTGGGTAGTGTCCAAAGAGCTGGCAGATCAAAACCCTTCTCCATACTTCTAAAAAGCGCTCCAAAATTACCGTCACAGCAGAGAGAGCGAAGGCCCTCGAGCGCCCCCTCCCCAAAACCTGCCGAACAACACGCTGCCCTTGTCAGCCCGTGACAGCTCCCATCTCGCATCTGCTCTTCAGTGAGCGAGTCGAATCAGACAGGTTCTGGCCTGGGAGGCTCCGTCATCTCACTGTGTCTCCTAATGCTTCCATTCAGTGTAGTGTCAGGCCTCACGGAAAACTTCATGCCTGCTTCCTGTCTCCTTTCCTTTGGGTTTTGTGTTAAACATTGAACCATGCAGCTCCACTTAAGTGCAGAGTTGCATTCTAAAGTTTTACTTGAGAATAAATTAGCAGCCTCGCTGAAAAAGACCAGTATGTGTTGAGGTTTGGATGCATCACTTCCCATTTGGCCCTATTTATTTGTTGCTTGCTAGTGTTCTCAGGTGTCCATAATTAATAGTAAACCAACAGACAGCTCTAAATTCAGTTAACTCAATTACTCAATCCTTTAAATGAAGTCACAACAATTGATGCAATCTAACACATCAGGATTGTGTCATTAATCAGCATTGTCATTTACCATCATCTATACAAAGAAATACAATGTGAAAATACAGAGAAATGTACAAACTCTCCATTAACTTTATATGTCTATCTTCACATATTATCTTTAATATTAAAATTGTGGCTGATATGATAACCTGATGTTTCATTCATGTTATTGCCAATATTTAAATTCAGTTTTATTTTGTCTAATCAGATTAAAAAGTGCTGTAAGTAAATTTAGGCATCAGAAAATTAGGCACCAGGATGTACCAATATTATGGCTGATACCAGTAAGTCAATAATATTTCAATATTATAACCAATAACTGATAAATATCAGATATGAAAATTCCATACTATTTTATCTAAATAAATAAAACACTAAAAGCTAAAATAAATCATTTTAGATACTTCAAATGCGTTTAGAAGAATACGTGCATTATAATATTCATGAAACTTACAGAATGCCCTTTTAAAGTTTTTTCCCCTCCCGGTTTTTATTTATTTATTTATTTTTGTGTCATTTCAGTTGTGCCTATAGTATATAATACAATACAGTGAATTTACATGGGATAAACATCTAGACATGAATAAAAAATCGAATTACTTTTGTTGACAGGATATCACCTCATCAGTCATCAAACATTTAATTGGATGTGAGCATAACCATGCTAATCTTTTTAGCAAGATGGATTTATTTCTTTTGAGAAATATGAGCAGCATATGAAAAGAGAGTGTTGATTGTGTACGTCTTAAGATTGGGGAATTTGGTAGGGTTGCATTATAGCCCTGTCCTAAAGAAAGCAAGGAAGCTTTGGTCTCTGTGCCTTCCCTGAGTATGTGTGTTGGGTGGTTGCACTCCCTTGATGAGACAGAGATACGCTCTGACCAAATACAGAGCCTCTCTCACTGCTGGATACACTGATCGCTTTACAGCGACTTCATGTGCCCACAGTGTCACAAACACACACTAATGTGTACACATTCTTCATGCAAACAAAAGCACTTGCATTTATTTGCATAAAGTAGCATCTCATTCATTTACTTCCTCATTCAATCACTATTTTTCATTTGCTTTCGCCTCTTGTCACTCTAACCTCAATCCCCTCAATTATCTTTCTCTCTGCATTCTTCGTTCCAGAAGATAATACAGCGGAACACCTTTTTTAATGCATAGCAAAATAACCCTGAAGTAAAAGAAATTCCTTATTTGAGGCAGCTTATTTCATCTGTAATTATAAAGAGCGGTGAAAGGACATTCTGAGTGAGTGGAGTAAACATTCTCTCTCGGCTTCATTAAATTACACAGAGTTGCCAGCCGCTCTCATTCCATCCCGCTCTTGTTTTTTTTTTTTTTTTACACGCTGTACCACACTTGACTGAGCTGAAACCGGGAGGATAATGAAAAAAGGAGGGATGGGATGTGTGCTTGTTCTTCAAAGAGGGCCCCATATCAGCACCCGAGCCAAGGGTCAACAGGGTCACCCATCTGCTTGTAAAGCAAAGCACTTTAGAGGCAGGCTGGGTATGTGTGAATGAGCTCTATTCTCTCTGGCGCTGAGTGATATGAATCCGCTCTCAGCACAACTCATCCCAAACATGTTGTTTCCCATTTGTAGCCTGGGCTACATCCAAAATCACATACTTCCTTACTATATAGTAGTGTTGGGTCCATGTCCATTTGTTGAGTCTGAGTTGATTTCAAGTCCTTAACCAATAGAGTTTGAATTTAACTTCTTGTTATCTTAATTTTGTTATTTATATTTTTATCTTTCATGTTATGCATGATGTGGATTCAACTGCACACGGAGGAAAAATTTAATCAGAATCCAGAATGTCTGGGTCCGTGTCAAGGTTGACTAGAGTTTAAAGGATTAGTTCACTTCCAGAATAAAAATTTCCTGATAATTTACTCATCCCCTTGTCATCCAAGATGTTTATGTCTTTCTGTCTTCAGTCGCAAAGAAATTAAGGTTTTCAGTCATTTTCTTTAAATGAAATGATCAGTCATTTTCTTTAAAAAAAATAAAAATGTATATACTTTTTAACCACAAATGCAAAATAAAATCTTGATATAGATCATACTTTTTAATGGTCTCAAAGTAAATGCTTAGCCAAAAGCAGTACCTATTTAGATAGTATGTGATTTCGGATGCAGCTCTGGTTTCTGGACTGAGCTTCCCCAAGCTTTTCGTCTGATCTCATCCATAGATCTCGTCAACACTTTAAAGACCACAGCATTTATCATAATTGTCCTACTTCGAAGCCACTGTTGTTCTCAGATTTCACCATTTCGACTCCTATTACGCGCCACGCTGTGCTAATTGATGTCATATTTCACTCTGACATTCGGTTGCATCCTTTCGTCCTATCAGTTCCTTTTCTCTCAAAATTGTGAGTTTAACATTAAATTGTGTGTTTTCCCCTTTGTCAGCTATTTCCTGCAGGTCTGTGCTTTTCAAGCAAATTCACCTGTTTTTTCCCCCCATAATGTAGATCTAGGCAATTTTGGAGGCCTCCCGATTATGTCTGAAAGCCACTGCCCATTCTGGTTAAGCTTTGGACTTTATCCAGTACTACATGCCGTGGCGCACCGACAAGTGCTGATGTTCCCCCGGGGGGCAACTGTGGTCGAGTATGAAATTGGGTCCTTTGGGTTTTGTGTTAAACATTGAACCATGCAGCTCCACTTAAGTGCAGAGTTGCATTCTAAAGTTTTACTTGAGAATAAATTAGCAGCCTCGCTGAAAAAGACCAGTATGTGTTGAGGTTTGGATGCATCACTTCCCATTTGGCCCTATTTATTTGTTGCTTGCTAGTGTTCTCAGGTGTCCATAAATTGGCTCTAAAGCTCTAAATTCAGTTAACTCAATTACTCAATCCTTTAAATGAAGTCACAACAATTGATGCAATCTAACACATCAGGATTGTGTCATTAATCAGCATTGTCATTTACCATCATCTATACAAAGAAATACAATGTGAAAATACAGAGAAATGTACAAACTCTCCATTAACTTTATATGTCTATCTTCACATATTATCTTTAATATTAAAATTGTGGCTGATATGATAACCTGATGTTTCATTCATGTTATTGCCAATATTTAAATTCAGTTTTATTTTGTCTAATCAGATTAAAAAGTGCTGTAAGTAAATTTAGGCATCAGAAAATTAGGCACCAGGATGTACCAATATTATGGCTGATACCAGTAAGTCAATAATATTTCAATATTATAACCAATAACTGATAAATATCAGATATTAAAATTCCATACTATTTTATCTAAATAAATAAAACACTAAAAGCTAAAATAAATCATTTTAGATACTTCAAATGCGTTTAGAAGAATACGTGCATTATAATATTCATGAAACTTACAGAATGCCCTTTTAAAGTTTTTTCCCCTCCCGGTTTTTATTTATTTATTTATTTTTGTGTCATTTCAGTTGTGCCTATAGTATATAATACAATACAGTGAATTTACATGGGATAAACATCTAGACATGAATAAAAAATCGAATTACTTTTGTTGACAGGATATCACCTCATCAGTCATCAAACATTTAATTGGATGTGAGCATAACCATGCTAATCTTTTTAGCAAGATGGATTTATTTCTTTTGAGAAATATGAGCAGCATATGAAAAGAGAGTGTTGATTGTGTACGTCTTAAGATTGGGGAATTTGGTAGGGTTGCATTATAGCCCTGTCCTAAAGAAAGCAAGGAAGCTTTGGTCTCTGTGCCTTCCCTGAGTATGTGTGTTGGGTGGTTGCACTCCCTTGATGAGACAGAGATACGCTCTGACCAAATACAGAGCCTCTCTCACTGCTGGATACACTGATCGCTTTACAGCGACTTCATGTGCCCACAGTGTCACAAACACACACTAATGTGTACACATTCTTCATGCAAACAAAAGCACTTGCATTTATTTGCATAAAGTAGCATCTCATTCATTTACTTCCTCATTCAATCACTATTTTTCATTTGCTTTCGCCTCTTGTCACTCTAACCTCAATCCCCTCAATTATCTTTCTCTCTGCATTCTTCGTTCCAGAAGATAATACAGCGGAACACCTTTTTTAATGCATAGCAAAATAACCCTGAAGTAAAAGAAATTCCTTATTTGAGGCAGCTTATTTCATCTGTAATTATAAAGAGCGGTGAAAGGACATTCTGAGTGAGTGGAGTAAACATTCTCTCTCGGCTTCATTAAATTACACAGAGTTGCCAGCCGCTCTCATTCCATCCCGCTCTTGTTTTTTTTTTTTTTTTACACGCTGTACCACACTTGACTGAGCTGAAACCGGGAGGATAATGAAAAAAGGAGGGATGGGATGTGTGCTTGTTCTTCAAAGAGGGCCCCATATCAGCACCCGAGCCAAGGGTCAACAGGGTCACCCATCTGCTTGTAAAGCAAAGCACTTTAGAGGCAGGCTGGGTATGTGTGAATGAGCTCTATTCTCTGTGGCGCTGAGTGATACCAATCCGCTTTCAGCACATCTCATCCCAAACAAGTTGTTTTAAAGGCCTGGGCTGTGTCCAAAATCACATAATTCCCTGCTATATAGTAGTGCAAGGTCCGAGTCCACTTTCAAGTCCGAGTTGGGTTTAATTCCTTAACCAATCAAGTTTGAGTGGGAGTCATTTATTAATACCTTCTTGTCTTAATTTTATGTTTTTTTTGTTGTTTTTTATGTTATCACGTGACATGGACTCGACTGTATTATAAAATTTCCTTAGAGTCCAAAATGTCTGAGTCCGTGTCAAGTTTTAGTACAAATTTACCCAAGCAAGTAACAAGTCCGAGTTCATTCATAATTGGACT